AGAAATCCTTGGACATTATTCTAAAATATTACTTTTACCTCTTTTCCTGTCACTATTTTCATTTTTCTTAAACATCAGTGAAGGTAGCAAGGAAAAAGCTGATTAAATGATATAAAGGCAACTGCTCTTTTAAGTTCTTTATTAAGTTATCAAAGTTATTTATTAAGTTATGCCAGACTGTAGCATATCGCATAAATGTAGCCAGATATTGTGGCTAATATTTGAGTAAGACAGCTAGATCACCTAATCAAACTCTTTTATGCAAAGGTAAAAATAACAAATAAATACAACAAAACTACATCTGTATATACATGCTGATCAAAATGTTTATGTATTATGATTCATGCTAATTAATCATACATACCACAATTTAATGTAAGTATTATAAGTTGGCACTGTAAATATTGTCATTATTATTGAAACACTTAGGGTGAAAATTCAACCCATACTGAGTTCAAGACAGCAATTCAAACTGCTTTGTTTTATCGGTTATCAACAAACGGAACAAATGCAGTATTTTGTTGACAGATAATATTCAGTGGTATATTGGATGTTGAACTAGAAACACTGGTGAATATTAAAGTCATAAATAATTCAATCCTTTGTTGCATCAGTGTACGACCTCAAAATCACCCTGTTCAATCTGAAGGCGCCGTAATGGCCCAAAGTTCAGCAAGGCCAAATCATACCCTACCATATATAGTAACAGACTATAATACAGAGTTTCAACAAAGAAAATACAGTTAGCATAATAATGAGGCATTAGCTGAAATGCACACAGAATTGTTGACCTGAAACAAAAATCCACAGAAAGGACATATTCTGAAGGATGCTGACAAAGTAATTAAAATAGCTAGAGAAATAGACCTCACTTAAAACCCAGCAACTCTTCAGTCCTGTCTTAGTCACTTAACCTCTCACTTACACTCCCTGACCCTTACACACTGTTTTAATATTCAGTTATTCAGGAGAGTAAATTCAGAGGCTTGCCAAATTAAATTCCCCGGATCCTGCTGCAAGCACCTCTGTCCCAGACCCAAACTGTATGATTTCCATAATGTGCAAACGTCTTCCAGTGTTCCACAGCTCTTTACTTACTGTGCCCTTAGATGCGAATGCTGCTCTCTTTCGTTCTGTCTCAGATATCATTTTTGTGAACCTGCATCCGGTTGGCCCAAAATTATCCACTGCTTCCTGCCTCTCCATTCATGTGCCATTTTATATGCCTGTTTCATTTACACTTATCACAAAACCACACTGATATCATTTATGTTTGTGCGTTTATTTCCGAAGTTTCAAGTGTGAATGTCAGAGACCCTTATCCTACCTTTTAGCTAACCCACTTGGTGTGGCCTGGGAATACTGGTTCCACCTTTTATTGATTGGTGTGATGATCTACTTAACTTCCCAAACCCTCATTACCTTTTTTCACCCATTTGCTGCTGTTTGGTTGGTTGGTTGTTTTTTGTTTGTTTGTTTGTTTGTTTTGTTTTTTTAATATTTATTTATTATGTATACAATATTCTGTCTGTGTATATGCCTGCAGGCCAGAAGAGGGCACCAGACCCAAATACAAATGGTTGTGAGCCACCATGTGGTTGCTGGGAATTGAACTCAGGACCTTTGGAAGATCAGGCAATGCTCTTAACCTCTGAGCCATCTCTCCAGCCCTGTTTGTTTGTTTGAGGGGTTGTTGAAAACAGAAATGGAACCACAGTAGAGAGGCTGGAAGTCAGAAGACAACTTGTGGGAGCCCTCTCTCTCCTACCATGTGAGGCCTGGATATCTAACCTGGTCGTCAGGCTGGGCAAAGAATGCATTTACCTGCCGGTGTGACATTATTTCTGGGGTAATGTGAACACATGTCTACTAACTCTGCCTAGGGAACTGATGAGAAGCCAAAGTAAGAATATTACCAGTGTTCAATGTGGTGAATTATTGAGTTTGTTAGGGTTATTTCTGGGTATGGGTGGGGAGTTACTACAGGAACAGAAATCATTCAACGGGAGCTGCATTACTGAAAGCCAAGCCCATCATGGTTAATAAGGCAGCTCACAAAACCTGGAAACAAGTAGTTCTGTAACTGGAGGTTTCTTTCCCACCCACCAATTCCCAAATAATGACACTGAGTCTTAATATTAATTACAAATTGTTTGGCCTACTAGCTCAGGCTGATTATTAACTAACTCTTATAACTTAAGTTAACCCATTTCTATTCTTCTATATTTTACCACAAGGCTCCTGGCTTATTACCTCACACCTTGTTTCTCCAAAGGCTGCTCACATCTCTTCAACTCCACCTTCTTTTTCCCTTTATCTTTGCTTGGATCTCCTGCCTGGCTCTATTTTGACTGGCTATTGCCCAAATCAGCTTCCTTATTAACCAATGGTAATAAAACATATTCAAAGAATACTGAAGGGCATCCTACATCAGAGTTCACGGTACAACTTTCAAGTAGATTGACAGATTGGCAAGGAAGCCCAATTGATGTGGGCTTCTTTGAGGTCGCTCAGTTGGTCTCTGTCTCTTTCGGGCAGCCTACCTGGTGAGAGTGCCTCTTAGCAATCCTTAATATCAATATAACCTTGGAGAAAGATGGGTCTAGTGCATATGGTCAATTCTGGAGACTTCTTAAGACTTCTGAGTTATTTACTTTCTGAGTTTTAAGGCACTCTCCTGAAGGAAGGAATGTGTCACTTCCCTTTAAACCTCCTGACTCTTAAGAAGCTTCCATCCAAATGGAATGTTTTGTCTCAGAAGAAATTGCTACACAACACCCCTGGGCTGTCTATCTCACTGACCCTTGAGATAGGATTTTGCTATGTAGTTCAGGCTAACTTCAACTCACTATACTCCTACCTCAGTCTCCAGAGTGCTGGTGTTTTAAGCATCCACCACCATATGAGGCATAAGCCTTATTTCTAATGGATCCCCTGAAAGGAATTCCTGTGAGGAGCAAATGAAACTAAATGTACATTGCCCGGTATATAGCAATAAACTCAAACTCCATATAATTAATTCCTGTTTAAAAGAAATCCATGTATGCTATCCAACACATCTCTAATGCATCACAGAAAGCAATAGAAGCATCCATAAAAATGTTAAGTCTGTGTTTGCATCTGTTCCAGGATCTTCTGAAAATGATAAAATGATGATCACCATAATAATTATTAATGATACCAAATTCATTCCTCAATAATCTTTCTATTTTAATATGAAAATACATTTAATTAGGTGCGTTTAAATTAATATATTAAAATTTAAGTATTAAAATGACTTATCACTACAGAAATATTATTATATAAAAAGGTTCATGATATATTAATTTTAAATGCCTTTAGAGATGTTGATTAATGGTAAAGAGATAGGAACTAAAGTAAAATAGAAGTTTGTTCGGGTGGAGGGTGTCGCATTTTCTTAAAATTTAGCGTTAAAATTAGCCCTAACCTGAAAGTCAGCATTCCAAAATGTGCACCTCCATACTCACATGACATACAAAACACAAATCTAGGTTGTGAACTCTGCTGCTGGAACAGGGGAGTAAAGTGAGCTTCTACTGGGCTTCTGCTACATAGATCCAGGAGCTTGAAACACTTTGCATTTTTCAGTGTAGCTTGTACTGAGGAAGAATTTAGTCTAGATAATTGACTGATAACAAGTTAACCTCATCTATTGCCCTGGACAGCAATACTAATGAGCTGCTGGCTGCCTGAGGCCATCGTCCTACATACAGGACAGTGGATGAATGAAAGCGAACCGAAGTGGATGTCCTTCCTTGGGGAAGCAGAGACTGTTTCAGAAAAGATGAGAAAATGAACCTTGTCTCTTTCATCCAAACCAACCTCTTTGTCTTATAAGGACTGGAGACATAACTGTCCCAATGGGAAAAGGCAGAGAAACTCTAATATTCCCGATGGCTTAAGCAGCAGGCAGGAGATGAAGGCAGAGCCCAGATGGTAATGGTTCTGTTCACCTTATCCTCCAGGATCATCGCTCTTCATTCTTTCTTGTGCTTACGCTTTTGGCATAAAGGTCAAGCAAATAGCCAATATGGTATTACCTTAAAATGCACATTCTGTCCACAAATAGTGAAGGTTTTTTTTTTATTCTACCATATATAAACTTTAAGGCTTTTAAAATTCAAGGCTCTTAGGAAATCCTAAGTAAATTCATTCATTATGAAATTTAGACCTTCCAGCAGATGATAGCTTAAACACTGATTATTCTGCTTTCAACAACATAAAGTGAGATTTCCATCCAATATTAATAAGTTGAATTAAATGGAAAACAGTGTAAATAAATTAAGAATGCATTGACTTGATATTATTTCCATCCATCAGATCTGAAACAACTTGGTATCTTTCTGTTGTTCTTGTTCATGGTGGATTGAATGAGATGGCCCCTAAGGTTCATATATTTGAAACCTTGGTCCCGAGTTGGTGGAACTCTTTAGGAAAGATTATGAGGTGTGACTTTGTTGGATGAGGTGTATCACTGGGACACAGGCTTCAATGTTTCAAAAGCCCATGCTATTCCCAGTTCACTCTCTCTGCCTCTTGTTCATGGATCAGTATGTAAGTGTGGGACCCTCACCTTTTATTCTCAAAGGGACAAGAAGGAATTTCCTAGCAGAATGTTTTAAAATTAGAAACACAGACAAGCCTCCCATTCCCAGAAAGACAGCACTTTCTTTCCGCCCTCAGCACCTGGGAGATTCCAAGTATAAGGACACTCAGCCACCTGGTACAGGCTGATAAAGATGGCCTGACTCAGAAACAGGATGGCTTTGCTCTAAGAACAAAAAACTAGCTGACATCACAGGATGGGACAGAGCAAAAGACCTTGCACCCATGCCAAAGCAGATTCAAAAAGCCTCTTTGTAGTTACACCTTTAAAAGACTAACCCAGCAGAGGAAGCTCAACTCCTCTCTACCTCACTGCAGTGGGATTAGAGATGGGTCACCAACATGTTTGTATTATGCTAAATAAACCTGTTTATTACAAGCTGGGCCTCTCTGGTGGTCTCTCTCTGGGGGTCATAATCTGGGCACAACAGTAAGCTCTCAGCTACTGCTGCAGGACCATACCTGCCTGCTTGCTCTCCTCTCTGCCATGGTGATCATGGACTCTAACCCTTTTTTCTTTCTTTCAATCCCTTTAATAGGGTCCTCTGAGGAACCAGAAGAATAACACGCAGGGAAGACAAAGTAGCGCTTTTTAAGCCCACTCAGTAATTCATCAGTCTTCTTCTGGTAACTGGATCTTGCTGGGATCAAAACAGTTGGATTCCATAATGGGGAGGCCGTTGGTTTCTCGGTATTTTACAAGTCTCTCAGCTTCCCGGCAGGCCCACTCTTGCATCCTGTAGTCAGGCAGATATGCCACAAAAGTGGTACCAAAGACCAGGACAATGGAAAAACCAAAGAAGAAGACAGCTCGCATGTTCCAGACATCCACCACAAGGTCCTGGTCATAGCTGTGAAAGTCTGGGTTCTTCGCGTAGAGGTTTTCGTCCTCGGGTTCTGGGTCCTCCTGCCAGAGTGTGGTAGGTTCTCGTGACAGTTTTCTCTCCACAGCAGACGGGGAGATTACAGCCCTGGAGGATTCCGAGCGAACGCGGGCAGCCAGCAGCTCTCGTATAGCCGCTGCTGCCAAAAGACGGCGAGCGTATAAACTTAACAGCCTGGCTGCCATGACAGCTTGTGAGGCTGAGTCGGGGATGGGGCTGGACTCTAACCCTTTAAAACTGCAAGCTGCAAATAAACTTTTTTTGCAAGTTGCTTTGGTCATGGTGTCTTATCACAGCAATAGAATAGCAACTAGGACATTGTTACAGCATATATAGATGTTTATCTAATCTTAATATCATTAATGAAATAATCTATATGAGGGGTTAAGCAACTGCCTATTAATAAATTGTTGTTGTTTTGAGGCAGAGTCTTCTTAAGGGGCTCTGGTTGGCCTCTCACTATTGCTATCATCCAGGCAAATGCAAACCTGACCCCACCCATTGAGGACCTTGCAGAGGCAGAGCGACCACTACTGCACCCATGGCAGGCAGTACCCTGAATCTTTATAAGGGGCAAAGATTCCTTTAAGAGACAAGTTATGCCCACTACTCTCTCTTTCTGCCATTTTTCTGAGGAGGCAGGTCTCTGTCTCTGTCCTCTCTCTCTCTCTCTCTCTCTCTCTCTCTCTCTCTCTCTCTCTTTCTTTCTCCTCTGATGCGTCACTCCCCTCCCTTCACTATGGAATTAGTGGTCCCATCTTGTGCAGCATATCATTATAACTATGATGATCTCCCTGCCTCAGTCTCCTATGTGCTGGATTACAGACATGTGCCCACTGTTCTTTGAATGAACTAAAAAGTGAACTCTGAAATCCTGAGCAAGTCACAAGATATAATTTATTGGCCACTGTAGGTTATCAGTCAGAGAGCCCTATCTGTGTTACTTGCTATGCTACCAACTGTAAAAAGTAATTGTTTGAACTCATTCCTGTTGTATCTATAGGAGCCTGTACTACGCTAGAGCTCACTTTGAGCAGGATAGAAGTAGAACAGATATGTAAAAGAAATACCTTACTTACTGGGAGAAGCACGGGAATGAGCTCCCAAGGTCCCAACGAGGAGCAGAAGGAGGGAGAACACAAGCAAGGAAGTCAGGACCGTGAGGGGTGCACCCACCCACGGAGACAGTGGGGCTGATCTATTGGGAACCCACCAAGGCCACCTGGACTGGGACTGAAAAAGCATGGGATAAAACTGGACTCTCTCAACATGGCAGACAATGAAGGCTGATGAGAAGCCAAGGACAATGGCACTGAGTTTTGATCCTACTTCATGTTCTGGCTTTGTGGGAGCCTAGCCAGTTTGGATGCTCACCTTCCTAGACCTAGATGGAGAGGGGAGGACCTTGGACTTTCCACAGGGCAGGGAACCCTGACTGCTCTTTGGACTGGAGAGGGAGGGGGAGAGGAGTGGGAGGAGGGGGAGAGGAGTGAAAGGAGGGGGAGGGAAATGGGAGGCTGGGAGGAGACGGAAATTTTTTTTCAATAAAAAAAAAGAATATTCAGAGGCATGAATTCTGAGGGTGGTCAGAGGTAGAAGTCCTACTAAGCTCTTCGTTCTACAGCAAAATTCTGTCAAATGGGGCTGGAGAGATGGCTCAGTAGGTAAAAGCATTGGCTACTCTTCCAATGATCTTGAGTTCAGGTCCCAGTAACAACATGATGGCTCACAACCATCTATGATGGGATCTGATGTTCTCTTCTGAAGTAAAGTTGATAGAACATTCACATATAAATAAATATTAAAAAAAAATTCTGTCAAACACATTCTCCAGTTTTTCTCCAACTCTCACTGTAAGTCCACTCCATTCTGCATCACTTATGTCGCTGGAACTGTTCTTATGATTCTCACATTGCAAATTGAGTGCCCACCTCTTCCTCAGCTTAGCACTGAGCACAGATGTGCCCTTTTCCTCCCTGATACACATTGGCTCAGAGGACACCATATCCTTCTGATTTTTTTCTTCTATAAAAAAAGAAACAACTTCACAGGGACTGACCTATTGGAAAGATTTAAATATGTGTCACAAAAGCATTCTTTGCTAAAACTGTATAATCTAAGATGTCTCTGTGTATAATCCACCATGTCTATAAGACGACAGAGCTGAAGGTTTAGAACATTATACAATTCTTTGTATCAGAGAAATGAAAACTAAGCAAGAAGTGGGAAAGCCAGCGTTAGCTAGAGTTGACACTTAGGAAAAGTTTAATGGCCAGCCCCCAACCTAGCATCTCTTCTGAATTCTTTTCTTGCAAAGGGGGTAATTATCTTAATTGCAAATCTTCACTCAGCAAGCAGCTTGAGGGCCAAAGGTGATTATCTATTGCCTCTTCACCTGCAGACCATATGTTCACTGTGCTGAGAGACAAAGGCTAAATAAAAGGACTGTCAAATAGCAAAGAAACCCGAGGTCGCTGCAAAAAGTTAGAGATTCCTTGCCTAAATGAAAACACTCTAACTTCATAAGATGAACTCATGGACCCAGAACCAATGGCTTTATGAAGAAATTACATATGCAAGGAAATCTTGAGCTTTGTAAGCCAACGTTGGTAATTATTCATCCACCGTCCTCCTTCCCATGATGCTCTGGGAAGTGCTAGACGGGGTTTGTTTACTAGTGCAGGCTCCTTTCTCAACTCATGATGATATCTGTGTGGTTTATACTATAACTGTTTTAGGCAGCGGTGTGTACCACTGATGTATTCTTAAGAAGAGGTGTATACAATTGGCCCCTACACACCTGTCACTACGCCAACACAAAGGAAATTGATAAAGATGTACATTCGCATACAGGGTTCTGCTGTCACGCTCACTGTCTTTCGAGATGCCAGAGATGGGAGGTCTTACACAGACAGAAGACTAGAGGCAGTCTGATACTCCTTCACTGCCTAGACAAGAAGTACATTATCTGTGATGCAAACATTTATAGTTAACTTGGTGACCACATTGAACTGTTTCTCCTCTTTTCTAGCCTATTTCCACCCATGGTGAGTCCTTCAAAACCAACCATAATTGGATTATATTGAAGCGATTTGTTCTTTATCCACAGACGCTCAAACCATGAGTGGTATATCCACGTGTTCGAAACCATGCATAAACCTCATATTGTCAACTGAGTATTTGAAGTAATGAAGTAGCAACTGGACCAACTTTTGAGTTGCCTAGGTGAGGGAAGGTAAGGGCACACGGGAAAACGAGTTATCACGCAGATGGGCCTTCATCCGGTCTACTGAGAATGAAAGAATGGCCTGAGTGGGAAGAGACATTTTCTCTTAAGTTCCTAGACATGCATTTCAGAAGATATGCTCCCAGAGATGCCAGAAGCCACCAAGTGTGAACTTTAAAGGATGCCCCATAATGGGCAACAAGGTTAAAAGAGGTAAAATGACTTAGTCCCCTCCCCACATCAAGCCAAACCTGAAGAAATGATTATGTATGCTGATAAATGCTTCAACACAAATAATACTTCTCTCAGCAGGTTTCAAACTGAAGGAAAAAAGTTCACTAGATTTATGTTCTATTTTTAATATAATCTGCTTCACTAGACATCCTTAGCTACAGTCCACTTCTTGAACTACGTGGGATATGGCCATTTTTCATTAAGAGCAAATCAGATTTAGGAAAGACAGAACACAGATTACTTTATTCCTATCTGATACCTTCTCAAAACCTAAAGAGAATTAATTCATGAAATAAACAGGATATATTTCACGCTTTCCAAATTAAACTGAGATTTGTCACAGGAGTCGGTTTCTGTGACATTGCCTTGGCCTCATCATCTTATGATCAAAAATTCTACCAAAATCAAAGGTTTGCCTCTACTGAGTTCCATTCAATTCTATTGACCTCAGACCTGTCAGATTTCTGTCACTACAGAAATCAAGATGACAAATACTTCATATAATTAATTTACATTATTAACTTGGAGAAGTGCAACTGTATTAAAATCTCCCTTGTTGCCATGATACAGAAACATTTACCTGTTGTATACTTCAAGTGAAAATTGTACTGTAAAGTAACATCTTGTCAAATTGTTCCAACAACATTAATTAAGCCTTTTAAAATAATAAGTTTAAATTTTTTATGAAAAAGATTGGGAGTTTGATCATGCTAAATCTTTTTGTTGCATTGATGATGATTAAATTGCAAGTAGGTACTTGCAATTCAGAAATTATATGCCTGTTCTTTACATTTATTAAGGTATAACATAAAATGCATATTTGTTTTTTTTATTTTTTAAGAAGTATGAGTTTTTTGTTTTAGTATTTTTATAGTTATAAGGAATATAAAAACTTTCTGGACCAAAGAAATCCAGGAAACATTTGTTTTTAATCTGCTGTGCTTGGGCAGGTCAGCACATTTGTTTTTTTTTCTTTTTTTCTTTTATGCTTTCTTTCTTCCTTCCTTCCTTTCTTTTCTCTTTCTTTCTTTCTTTTTTTTTTTTTTTTTTTTTTTTTTTGCTTCGGTTTTTTTGAGGCAAGGTTTCTCTGGGGAGCCATGGCTATACTGGAACTGCTTTGTAGACCAGACTGGTCTCAAACTCAGTAATTTGTTTGCCTCTGCCTCCTTTGTGCTGGTACTAAAGCCCTGCCCCACCATGCTTCTGCTTGTTTTTGTATGTAGCAAAAGAAAGTCATTTTCATCACTCTTCAGTTTAAACCACTATATCTTTCTACTGTGCATTAAAATAAACCACAGCTGAAAGAATTTGGGTAATTTGCTCCAGGGAAACGGCCTTAGGGTACACTGAGTTTGAGGTGGGAGCACTCTCCTGGTTGTCTGATATTGCTAGCTGTTCCAATAGAGCAGTGGGTCCTGAGAATCTTGGTGTGCTGAGCTGAGCATGCCCACCCATCAGGTTAAGGCTTCGATGCCAAGTTCTTTATTGAGTCTTGTCAGAAGCAGAAGCCTTCAAACATCCTCTTGGTAGATGATTCCTCTGTTCACAGAGATAGGAAAATTACACATGGGCTTTATCAACAAGGAACTGCGAAACTGAAACTTTTCTAAATTTTCAATAATAAATGCAAGAGGGGAGACTAAATTATCTTTCTATCCCACGGGTTTTAGAAAATGCACTCTGAAATTGGTATCATAGGAATAGATGATCCTTGAATATGTGATT